CAGCGGCGCGAGGCCCGTACCTGCAAGTCGCTCGTTTGACCTACATTGTTCGGGCTCGAAGTCGATGCAGGGACACGCGGGGCGGCAGCAGCGGCCGACGAGCGACACGTTCATCGTTAAAAACCGAGGCTGCAGCCGGCCCGTGGCCGCGATAGATTTTGCTTCCGATCTCGCGCCGCTCGCTCGCCGCTTTTGCATGTTCGATCGGTGTCCGATAGCGGCCCTCGCCCGCTCGACTCGGAACGAACCAACGGAACTCGCGGCTACAGTCGATAGATGCTGATGCAGCGCTGTCCCTCTCCGGCTAGCGGCACAATGGTCCAGATGTCCGCTTTCCGTGGTCGAAATCATTTCGGCGTTATTTAAAGGCTTACGGTAATGGTATCTCCGATTCGCCGTAACGTCAGATATAACGTTGTGAAATCGAAAATTTATCGCGACGTTTCGACAGTTAACGCGACCTTGAGTATTAAAAAGCAATATTCTCTTCTAAACTTTTTTATATTGACATTTGAACCGCTCGGAAGCCGGTTAAGCCGATCTTTCGATATTTTCTGATTTATGTCAATTTTGATGGAATAATATCGTTTCTAGTTATTACTCGTTTCTTCGTTCTTTTATAGCTTTTGAATGTACTGTGTAATAACTTTCATTAATAAAATATTAATTTTCTCGATTGCTGCTTCATGGACCGCGTTGGCTTCTGAGCGACTCGTTCAAAGATTGAACGTCGATTTACTTTTGTCCACTTTCTCATCGCGAATGCCTAAAATTCACGGAGGCGGATGAAGTATCTTCGTTTCGGAGAGCTGCGACAGTGTGGCTTCGGTGTTGGTAAAAGTCGAGTGATAGTACGATCTCCGAGAAGAATTATTATCGTGTAAGCGTCCGTTATAAAACGAAAGTATATATTTATTGCAGCTCCGCTGTAAACGTTCCCTTAGGCGTGTCCGTCGATTCCGTGGGCTAACGCGGGCGTAACGGTACTCTCACAGTTCCATCCGAATGCTCCGATAGCGAAAGAATTTCTGCCCGCGAGTGATTCGAGAATCTTTGAGCATCTTAAGAACGTGAGAAGAATCCTCGGCCGGTCCGATCGAACGGAAAAGATTTTCCCCGTGTAACGAACGTCTGTCGCTCGAACGCTGGTTCGGAACGGAGACAACGCTTCGATCCAGCGGGACCGGCGACGCCTGAGAAGCGAAGACCAACCGAACGAAGCGGTAGATGGGACCGTTGCAGTCGGGCGCAATCTGATTTAAACATCGTACTCCCGCCTTTCAAGCCGTTCGAATGCGCTTATTAACCTGTCCGTCAAACTAATTCTAGCGCGATTATTGAATCAAACGCCGTTGAAACGTCGGGTGATTGAATCAAATATTGAACCTGCTCGGTAGATGATAATATCCTCCCCCGACGCCGCGAACGCGGAGAGAATCCTTCTTCCCGTGTCGATAGCTGCAGAGACACGACTGCACAGGTGTCCGATTCTCGCAGCGACGAACGAACGTTCCGTTCGAGGCACCGTGAATCGCCAAAAACTCGGGACACCGTACAGCCGACGGTCTCCCTGGGGATTTGCTTCGCCCCAGGACCGACCCCTTTACCTCGAGTGTTTTCTTGGAGATACCAGACCACCGGCTAAATCGAGGATAATTGCGCGGCCGCGGAAAGTTCTGGCATAATCGCGTCGGTTCCCCGCGCACGTTCAACCGGAATAATAAGGACAAACCGGAAGGGATTCCGAGGTAACTGCGAGCAACGCTCCCTCCGCGTTCCCCCCTCGCCGTGTCCCGGCCTCTCATCCCGCGGCCGGATCGATGCGTGAAGCCCGACGGGGAAGAAAAACGAAATTTCGCGTCGGCTGGAAGCCGGCAGTGAATAAAAGGTAAAAACGTCCCCGTTGGCCGCCGGTAATGCCGCATAATGGAAAAACAGTGTAGAGGGGCCGCGCATTGTTGCAGCGTGTCGCGGCCGTCGGTCGGACAACCGATTTCCATGGGGCCGTTCATTGTCTCTCTCCAGCGACGTTCGCCCCGCGGCCTCGTCCTCTCCGTCGGCTACCAGGACGCCGGCGACGGGTCCGCGGGAGAGCCGCGCAGCTCGCGCGAACTTGCCACTTTCACGACGTCCCGTGTGAAAGTAATTCCCGGACGGACGACCGGCCGGGGCTGGGGAGCCGGGGGGAGGAAGGATTTTGATTCGCGAGGACCGGGGATTAAGAACGCGCGAGTGCAACGGGGGCTGCCGCAGCCGGAGCCCGGTGGCGACGGGTAAGCGGATTTCCAGCGAGCTAACTTTTTCTTCGTGGCCGGCTCTTTTCAGGTGTCGGCCGTCCGCGCCGGGGACCTTGGACGATTTAACGCTGCATTTGTCGCAGTCCCGACCGCGAGGAGCTGGCCCGCCGCGTCGGCGCAAAGGAGACAAAACACGGCAACGGAAAAGGGAAAAAGGAGAACGAAATGCGAAATAGACGCTCGTTTCGTCGCCTGGAGAACTCGGGGAGTGTCGCGGGACCGGCGCGGACGAGGCTCGGGGCAACTGGGGCGCGAAAATTCCGTTTTCCACGCTCGACGACGCGCGGCACTCGATTTTCGAGCGGGCCCGTCCGTTTTATTTATGCGCGTTCCGCCCGGTCAGAATTAACATTGGCCGCCACCGAATTATCGACGGGGAATCGATTTCCGAACGCGCCAGGGACACACCTCCCCGAGCTACGTGTTCACTGACCTAAACCCTGACGGCCCCGCGAAACCGGCGCGCTCCTCGTGTTCCTCCCGTGCGGCTTCAATGGGGAGCGATGCCTCTGGCATCGATAACTTCCACGTGAATCGGGGCGGCATGATCGACGGAGGACGGGACAATGTTCGAATATAATTCTGATAACGAAGGCTTGTTCCGGGAAGTTAAAATAACGGTGGGAGGATGCTTTTCGCGGTTCCGTTACGGAACCGGGGGCATCGCTTTGCGTTTCAACCGTGTTACCTAGAAGGGGAAGCCGACAATGGCCGGATGAGGGTGCACACCACTTAGAGGCGTTCTAACTATAGGGAAACTTTAGGAACTTTTCGAAATATTAGTTATCGAGGAAACGGCAAGCATTTCAAGTGCAGAAACTTGTTCGTACTACGAAAAGTTAGCTTCGGATGTTTATGAAGAATTGAATAACGATTATTGTCTTCTCAGTTTTCAATCGAATCAGCAATGGATGTTTTGCAGAAAAGAATCCCGAAGCTAGCGAACATCTGCGTCATTTTGTAACATTTTGCCATAGAAAAATAATAAATCTAAACCAGAAAGTTACAGTTGTTCGCCAAGAAAAATTCAAAAGAGTTTACTTAATAGTCATTAACAAAGAGATTCCTGAAGTTTACCTATCTAGGTCGTCTGCACGTAGTGTCCATCGTAAAAGCGTCCGTTTCGTTTGGCGAGAAGAATGTACTCACGTCTTGTGCAGAGAGGACCCTCGATGCGAACTGAATGGTCGTGCTTCCGGAGTGGGGCCGATGATGCAAGGATTCCGTGGTATTGTCTCGGTAGCAGATACACTTGTACCAGGGCAATCGGCTCGAACTGACCCGTCTGTTCCGATATTTCCTCCACACGTGCCTGCGAAACGGAAAGGAGCGTTACGTGCTGCGAAACTCTCCAGGGAGCGGAAAAATTCTCTCGCGAGAAACAAATCGCGGGGATTAAAGCGACGAAAGGAAGTATCTCGGGTCGCGAAAGGGTAATTCTTCGCGGCGAGTGCAGTTAAGCAGCGCGGAAACTGCGAGGAAATTGAAACGGTTAAAAATGAATCGGCCCTTAGCGACTCGACCCCGGCGCTCGACGAATCAACGACACGGTCGCGTTTTAATTAGCAGTAATTTCTGGGCGCACGGATTCCCCGCGCGAGCGAGCCGCGCCAATTATTCCGCCGAAACGACACGCTCTTCTTCGTCGCGGGCCACCGGATAATTCCGCGCACCTCCGGAGGCGGTTCGACGATTGTCGAATAAATTGTTCCCGTTTCTCGCGAACGAACCGACGTAATCCTCGATCGGCCGCCACGGTTCCTGCAATAACGCGGGATTACCGGGCTCCGGTCGGCCGCCGCGAAAATTTCCGAGTCCCCGATCCGCGGGACACTATGGGTTTTTATCGCGAGGACGAAATTAACGGCGCGACGACTTAGGCCGGAGTTAATTTCTCTGGATCAAGGGATCCGGGAAACTCGGAGTTTTATATTCTCGCTGGGAATCGCAACGATTCCGGAGAGAAATGTCGCGATTAAACCTCGGAGAACGAACGTGCCCGACGACTGTGCTCTTATTCGTGGCTTAACCATTTCCGATAGAAATATCTTCGTAGGGCAACGACGCCGAATGTGGAACTGGCTGGAAGATCAGGATATTTCGAAAAATGAATAGCTTGTTGAGTCAGTTACCATGGGAAACTGTTGATTAGCGATAGAAAACAATCGTCTTAATAATGAGATATTCGTTAAGAATTTGTTATTGAACGAGAAGCATTCTTGTGCTTGGTAGTATGAAACTTTCTAAAAGAAACAAATAGTGGAATTAACATAATATAAATTCAAGTGGCTACTCCGTATATTTATCTTTTTTAATTTCATGAATATTCATTTCTCGCGACTAAGATGAGTTTCGTTTACAAATTGCCTAAGTATTCCACCAGGAGCCATTTTTCTGATCGCTACTTTTGACTTTATTTACATTTTTCACTGTTTCAAGACATTCGACTTTTTGCATCATTATCGATCAGTGCACGAATGTTTATTAATTTCTTCGCATTTCTATGCAGGTTTCATTGGAAAAAATGTCTCTCGTTTTGCCAAGCTTCTCGAACCAGGTGTTCCATTTTAGGTTACCATATTTCTCGGAAACGTGAGTGATAAAACTAGAACGTATATTTTGGAATGATCGCGCGGGAATGGAAGAAAGCCATTTAAAAACAGCCGGAGCGTTTTAAGCATAGCCGTTATTAAACCTAACACCCCCGCGATCGGGATCTGTGACGGCAATCGATCAGGCCACGTGTTCCCTGCAGATGGTGGGCGTTATTGTCGCGAGTAGGTTCGACAGTGATCGAGTCGCTCGCGAGGGCCGACTTAGCCTTTAATTGCTTCATTAATCAACGTCCGGGGCTTTCGCTTTCGCGAGGTAACAGCGTGCGTGTCGTCCTGTTTCGCAGATATAACGCGACTGTCCCGGTACCGTTAACTTATTCGCTGACTTAACGGTCTTCCCGAGCTGGTGTTTGCCCGGTTAGAGGTGAATCTCGTTTCTGTCTTTTGACGGCGCACTCGCGTGGCCCCGATGATAC